CCCAAAGCCACACGCGCAGTGCCACAAGTGACAATTTTCGTGAAGAAGCGGCGGTGTCGCCCTGGCTCTCCGGCCGCCCACAGCAATTCTCCAACAATGGGCCTGACTTCTGCCATGGCTGTCGCACTTCGCAACGGTTGTTTCTGGCTCTTGCGGTGTGCAGGGTACCACTAGAAATTGCCTATGCCGTCGATGAGGCAATATCTGGGGGCTTGTACTAGCAGACATGCCACACCAAACCAAAGCTTCAATGCCCGAGTCCGTTCTCTACCTTTGAGCCTTGGAGCACAAACCCCGCGGCTGGTTTTTTTTGAGCTTCTCAGAGACCTATAATAGGGGTTATAATGTAAAAGGTAAATAAGGATTGCCCAGCAACAGGAAAAAACAGATGATCATGGTGTTCATAGCGGCAAAGAGAGGCGCCCATTTTATCGAAACTGTCAGTTCTAAACAAGGCTGGACAGCATTCCTACAACACTTGGGGGTTTCCTAAAATCAAGGGTACCATACTCGGGGTCCCGTAATGAGGGTCATATAACATGTTGTGGTCTATATTGGGCTCCCCTCATTTATGGAAACTGCCGCTTGAAGTCAAGTCTTACAGGCTCTACGGCTGTTTGTGCAAGGTTACTCATGGCCGCCGAGACCAGGTGGTTCAAGTCTCCATAGGTCGGCGTCGTTAGCTTCCTCAGCGATCAGATGTGTGGCGTCCGGTTTCTGTAGTGAGATTACCTACTACTTCTGCGTGGGATGGCAAGTGCTGTAACCATTCAACAGGCCATGCTAGTATCACACCTCGATTGCTCTTTTGCAACACTGGTGTCGGTCATCCCGGCCCTATCGCCTGGTCATCATTCTTATCAGAACTAGTCTCATCTTCCTGCTATTGAATGCTTATCATCACAATCTTCTGGATTTGCTGCAGCCGGGGCGCAGCGTTCGGAAGCAAATGTCGTACAAGGCTTCATTGTCCTCCGCTCAGTCGGAGGGGAAGTGAAGGAGTCAACACAGGCAACCATCAATATGCACAATTGTCATAAGCCGCACAACGTGGCAAAGCATGTTGTTCAACCAAAGGTCCAGCAGGTTTTCTAGAGCACAAGTTCTTCCACTAACTCGAGTGCTGAAGCTGGATGTTTGCAAGCTCAAGCTGCGTGTCTGGCGATATCCACTATTCTTTCTGCGGCCCCTGAGCCTGCGGTCAGTTGCGCGCAACCTTTGGAAGCACATACCACATACCTGAATTGAACTTAAGAGCTGCATGCCGACAAGTCTCCAGCAGGAAAGACTCGTCAGAGTTCTCCACAAGCTGGTGAAAGCTTAGGACAGCGTTGTACGGCTCGACGACGGTGTCAGAGACCTATCTCATGTGGTTTCTTCCGTAACCAGTGGGCGCAAACAAGCTTGCACTTTACTCCTCCAACACTCTGACTCATCACAGCTATTTGGGGGCGTCCTGGCCCTGCCTTGGGAGAAGGGATCACAGAGAACGTCTCCATGATGCGATCAGGGTACCTTATGCTGTTGCTTGCACTTACTTCTTGCAACAAGGCAGCCGGCCTCGAGCTCGTGGATTTCAACGCAGTTAGCACATCTTACAGCGTGTCCCGAACGTCTATCTCATGCACTTACAGGTTATATAGGGATTGTAGGGTATATATTGGAGTCATATAGGGAAATTACAAAAGAAAATGGAAACTTCTGCATTATTTGTCTGAAAAGAAGTCTGCAGTGAACATCCGCCATGCGCTACCAGTGGAGAGCCCATAGTTGAGGGATGGGCGCCAGGATGATGTGATTCGAACTGTCCGCAAGAATTTCCCAAAACATAAATCCTAAACATCAGTTTCCCTGTTCCATTCTTCCCAGAGCCCTAAACCCAAAACCCTAAACCCTAAAAGCCCCTCAGAAGTCAGAGTGGTCCTCGAGAAGCCTGCCACTAAACCCACTAGAAGGAGCATCCCAAAGGGCAACCGAGGCGCTCTTCGCGCACCTGGGAATGTAGCATCTTAAGGCCCCGTTTACAGAGATATGTAGAGTTTAGGGTTTAGGGTTTTGGGTTTAGGTTTTGGGTTTAGGGTTTTGGGAGGAATGGAACAGGGAAACTGATGTTTAGGATTTAGAGCGGCAAAATCTAGCTCGGGCTGGGTGGAGCGACCAGGTAGTGGCTTGTGATGTGACATTACTCTGTGCCACGATATCCAAGTACCTTTGAGACTGAACAAAGCTTTCGAAACACTGCGCAATGAGCTACTGTCCATGAATCACACCTTCCATGCGATGCCTGTTGCAAACATCTTCCAAGTGCAGCAAATCCTTTGTTCTGCCCGTACTTACAACTCACAAGCTGGAGCCTTCAGAGTCCTGCAGCACGTGATTTCCCGCCTTGGAGATCAGCAGGGTTCCCATGCCGGCGCCGGTGCCGCCACCCAGGGAGTGGCAAAGCTGGAAGCCCTGGAGGCAGTCGCAGCCTGCATGGAGACGGACGCAGATTGATACACTCCCCCAAACTAACATGGAAACCCACATAGTCCCCTTTTAGAAGGACACTAGTCTTTATAGGGCCCTTTTGGGGTTTCCATGTTAGTTTCCGCGAGTGTAGCTTCTTTGGGAGCTGGGGGTGCTTTAGTCTCTGCTTCCCGCCTTCAGCCTCCTTGCGCACAACGTCGAGCACGGAGTCAATGAGCTCCGCGCCCTGGGAATCTGAAGCGTCTAGATGAAGTCGCGGACCCAATCCAGTAAAACTCCATGCAAGTGAAGAAGATCATACAAGTCACAAAGTCTGCAGACGGTGGCAACTTCCAAGACATAGGGCTCAAATGGGGGTTGAACAAAACAATCCATTCTCATGAGAGGACCGCTTCATCTCCTCATCTTCTCTGTAAGGGGCATCCCTCTTAATTATAAGAAAACCCCCCCAACAACTAGTTTCCCCAGTAACCCCTTATTAGCCCTTGATAACGAGGGTACCCTATTTCCTATATTCAGTGTTAATAAGGATCAGCCAAAATAAAAAGGGGAAAAAGGGTACTACTGGGGTACCTAGACAAGCTCTCACAAAAGGTCTCATGTCTCTGAGATAGCTGAAGCAGGCTGAGGTCTGGGCTTCCGTGTAGTGACCTGGGTGGGAGCTATGCAAATAGCAGATTCCCGCATACAGACACCAAAATACTATAGTTCATTTTATAGGGACCCCCCCCAAATGGTACCCTAAACCCATAATCGATCAACAACATCCCTACATGCCCCTGTAAATCCCCTATTATCATCCCGTTAAGGGACCCCCAATTTTGGACCCCCCCCTCCCCACTAGGAGGTCGAAGGCAGTTCGCGGAGCTTTGGGGTCATCATCCGAGGGGGATGCACTACTCGGAGGGTAGGGGGGACTTAGACTGTAGTCCCCTTCTACCTATAATGAAAATAGTAATTTGAATTCTTCTTTTGAATCATACAATAATGAAGACTAAAGATATTATAACTCCTAAGGAGACTTCAGCAGAAAGTGGGTTATCATGAGGTTTACTATGCAGAAAGATTATTCAGAGTGACCATGCTATGGATTCTAGCGTCATAAGTCTACTTACTAAATTCCCGTGACAGCCAAGTAGGGTCATGTTCGCACAGATTTGCCAAGAAACATCTGTTGTCCTGGACTTCGTGGGCTACTTACCCAAGTGCATTGCAGTTCCTTGAAAAAGCCATGCAGCCGCCTACTTCAGAAGCGACTCCGCATAAGCCATTTCCGAAGCGCTAGGAGACCGAGCGCCAGACCCTTCGCCCAATTGTTGCCTGCTCCTCACACAGACGTGTCATTGGCTTCAGCAGCGCTTCAAGATGGAAGCTTTACAAGGCACTGTGCTACTAGCGAAGTTCATCCAATGCTCACCTTTTGGTGCCATAGAAACACTATGCCTACAAACCACTTCCAGGATGCAAGCTTGACTTCTTTTGGGATTCCGATGTTCCCTACACCAGCTTACTTAAGCTAACCAATTCCTTGCAATGACTACATAGAAATGCTTGCCAGCTAGACAAGGATTCAGCGCTTTTACTTAGGGTGCTGGGATTTCTTGAGTTGGGTCTGAAAGCGGTGTCGGGGCTGCGAAAACGCTGTCCTGTCTGTCCAAAGACAAAGTTGTCAGGCCGGAAAAGCTGACCGAATGGTCCAGCGCGGACGGAGTCCATGGTTCCTGGTGCGGGTTCATGATAAAGCTCGCGGGGTTTGAGCTATGACGAACTGCCATGGGGTGCCGTAGGAATGGTTGCAAGAAATAAATGAAGGACAAGTGTAGCAAGGCAACAAGATCTGCAGCATGACTCAGGAATCTTGGGATGTAGGTTTCCCCGCTGCCATTTTGGGCTTTGAGTCGCTAATGGACTGGGACTGAAGTTCTCGCTCAGAATACTGATGCTACAAACAAATATGCTGCCCTCAGTTACAGCCCCCTAAGCATGTAGTCCAAAGGCAAACCGCAGCACTTGGCGCTGAAGCGGCAGCGAGAGGCGGTCTATGCTTATAACCCATCATGAGCAGTAGCACGTGGATCCTCTCTGCACCAGGGAGCCATCCAAGAACAAAAGGAAGTTTCGCACGTAATTGAATGGCATGGCGTTCCCTGAGATCCATGAACGTCGTGTTGTTATGATACATCCCCTATTTCGTCCTGAACCCTAAGCTCCAAGACCGAAACGTGGCTGCACGTATCTGTCCGTCAAAGAAGTCACATTCAGATGGCCTGGCTCAAGATCCATCAGGATCGCACGAGGAACGTAACGTCCGCCGGTCGCCTCGTTGAAGTACACCTGGGCCACCGTCGGTTTCCGCTGTTAAAGCTGCAGAACTATACTAACTATTCGGGTATGAATTCCTTTGCAGGCCGCTCTGGGAAAATCTTCTCTGGAGCTCCCATAAGACCATGAAAACTATAGTGCTAAGACCAGCTACGTGCAGGTGGTTGGTGCAGACTCGGTTGACAAGAACCCATTGGGTAATTTCCCAAAATAGGGGTACCTCAATATAGACCCCAATGTACTATAATCCTTATTCTAGGACACCCCCATTTGGTTGAATGGATAGCAATCGGATTTGTGTCCGTGCTAGCGTCCGTGCGACTGAGCTAGGAACCCATGGTCATTGCAGGCAGTTCTTGTTGTCGATAGTAAAAGCCACATCGAAACATCAAGCAATACGAAACCGTATCTGTCAATGCAGCTGCGGGGCATTGATACGTTCAAGCTGCAGGTCAGAATCGCCATGATAGGTGCCTGCAGACATCTGGCAATGTTCCAATATAGTCCCCTTAGGCAGGAGGACAGCCGAGAGCATTTTGAGGTTTTCTTTGTTTGCGCCACCACCTATATCGTAGTTTTCCCAACATAGAGGTTACCTGTTATGCATTGTGCGGGTCAGGTTCAACTCAGCAAGGCTTGGGCTCTGGTATGCTATGATATACTATAACAGACTGCAATATACTATAATATATTGTAATAAACTCTGGTATACTATCATATACCGTCATATAATAGACTGTAGTATACTATAATGGACTAAAACAGACGTTAATATACCATAACAAACTCCCTAAACCCTAAACCCTAAACAACATAATGTTAACTTCGGCCTGCAAGTGTGTTGACCCAACGTCTAGGACAAGCTCCCCGGGCAGGAGGACCAATGTGGGGCAAGGCCACGGACGTAAAGGTCGTGCGGCCCCAATATAGGGGTTCCTTTAAAGGGGTCATAGGGGATCTATAGGGGCATATAGGGATATTATGGGGATATTATAAGGATATTATAGGGTTTAGGGGTTTCACAAAATTCGGGGTACCATTTTGGGGGTTCCCATAATAAGGATTATAGTATTTTTGGGTCTATATTGGGGTCCCCATATTTTGCTACAAACCTTTATCTAGGAACCACCCCCAAAAAGGGGTTTCGATTCTTGGAAAAACTGCCGGCTGCTAATCCCAACTCACTTTATGCCTGTGGGGTCGATGCCGTGCTCGTCGGCGATCACCTTTGCGCGTCTTTAGAGAGTTCAAGTTCTGGGCTTATGGCGGCAGTGGCACTTGCACATCTTCCTGATCGCAGGATCCTAAGAAGGAAGCCCGAAGCCCTGTACTTGAGAGGACCCATTGCTGAGAAGAACAACATGCCAGCGGGGGTACACTATAATGTGCTAGACTAGAATATACTATAATAACGATACTGCAGAAAATCACAATGCAACTCTGTTCCAGCCTCCCAGAACTTGGCACCAATCTGGTTGCCGCCTCAGCAAGTGAGTCTGACTTTGACACTCGGGACAGCAGTGCTGTGGGGTCTGAGGCGTATGGCATTCATTTCTTCATTGACTTGGCTAGTAACTTGGAGCTGAAATTCGAACAAACGCGGCTCCATCATGCATGACGAAGCAAACTGTCGAAACCATCCTGGCATCAATGGTCACGGGCTAGAACCATCCAAGTTCTCCGAGAACCTGATGCCATCACTCTACTTTGGATGCCAAGCCACACTGACCGCCCTGGACGTGCACGAGCTCACGCATGGCTGCAGGTAGCACAAGGCGTTCGAAGGTACGAGGGCTGCTTGAGAATTTTCGGGAGCGCTGCGGACATGGACAAGATTCCTGCAAGATCTGCGAATCGAGCTGGGAGTTCACAATAGATCAGAGTGTAGGGTTCAGGGTTACAAAGCCAATAGTGCAGTGCGACAAGACATCTGGGCTCATGGTTTCTAGCTTGGGTTTAGGCACTTCTCGAAGCCTTGCAGGCATGTAGTTTTTGGCGGTTTCTATATAACCCATTATAGCAATTTCCATTTTCTTGTAATTATCCCTATATAACCCCAATAATATACTATATTAGTAGTTTCCATGTTCTTTTCATTATCCCTAGTTTCAGTTCCTGAGGCTCTGGGGCGTGAGCCGGCACTGACCTCACGCTGATCCGATCCTGGATGGTCGGATGAAATGTCTGTTTGAAAAAGCACCCCAAATCCCATAAACCTTAAACAGTAGTTTCCATTTTATTTTCCATTGTCCCAATATAACCCCAATATAACCCTAATATTACCCCAATGGGTAGCCCCAAGACCTGAACCTCATGCAAGATCCTGCAAGGTTCTTCCCTGCCACCCTGAGAATTTTGCCGTAGCAAGGGGCTTGCAGCGGTTGGAGGGTGCAGGGGCTGGCTAAAAATGAAACTAATGATGATATGCAAGACTTGCATCATAGACTCTAGGCAAAGGACTTCCACATCCAACCGTGCTATCGGGAGCCTTGTAGTGTTGCTCGCAAGCCACGAGAAAGCCAGGTGCGGAGTTTCTTCAAGGAAGCATCTCTGAGATCCATACAGCATGCGCGTTATTGGTAACGAGGATGCAGCTGTATGCAGCTGTCATGCTTCACCTCTAAACATTGGGGACCTATACTGACATCATGGCCGCTACAACGAAACAATGGCAGGTTCAGAAGAAGCGTCCTATGGGACCCAACACAACAGCATCCCACTATGATTGTCAACTCATATGTGTTAGTGACATTATCCCAGTATTACCCCCAAAAGCCCTATTCAACCCCGTATATACTCCCAATATAATATAGTAGTTGCCATTTGCTTTTCCATCATCCCTATAATCCGTGTAGGGTGCACTGGAATCCTATGGGGGATTCCTGCTCAGCCCCAAACTTTTGCTGCCTTGGTCTAGGGTTTGGGGTGCCATGTAAGGGGTCCCCAAAAAAAGAGTATAACAATATTGGGGTCTATACTGGGACTCCCACGGTATGGAAACTACCACATGAGTTGGCAATCACGGCTGAGTGCTGCTTAGGGTGGGAAATCTCAGAAACCCAAACGTAAGGTGCAACGCTTTTGCCCGCAGCTTTGCATGCGGTAAACAATTGCCCATCAGGACCCTCGACCCCTTGGTGAAGTCATGTTATTCTCGCTTAACCAAATTTTGAACCCGCGGCAGCTCAAGTTATAGGTTAGGGTTTAGGGGTTTAGGGATGATGACCGCATCATTTTTCTTAAGAGGGACCCTCTTGGAATCATTTACAAGATCTTTCTATTCTGTAGAACCCTGCAGAGTACTCCCACTTCGAAACCCATATTCCTTGGTCGAGCTTAGTGGGTTCTCAACTGAAACTTTTCATCAGCCTAGGGGCACGACTTCCCCACGCAGGACTGGGTGGACAAGGTGGGCAAGCAGGAGCATGCTAAGAAGGCTTTGCATCATTTCAAGCCATCCCTGCCGCTCGGCATGAAGAGCTTCCAACAACTTTAGGATCTCGATGCGATCACCCATGGCATCCACTTGTGCTTCCTTCAGTCGCGCACCGTCCGTGTCTCAGAGTGCTGGTATCACGAGGCTCTCCCTCTTGAAGATCTTCCGATATCTCTGCAGCTTGGCTTCTTGCAGGCCCCGAGCCAACAATGAAGCGCGGCCTTGGGAGCTGAAGCAGCAATTGCCCATATGACACTTGGCATCCTCTGCGGTGTCTGGGTACCCATAAGTGATATGTGGCTCCTGTGAGCACTAACACTTTGAGCTGAGCCCTGCAAAGTCAGCATGCGGACTATAACCTAACCAAGCGGCTAGATGCCCCGTACAGCCACGCCACTCGTGGACATGGTAGACCCCAACTGAGGCGAGTTGAGCTTCTTTTGGTCAAAGCCTCTTCGTGGCTTTCCAGCTCTTTCAGGACTGTACACTGCGAAGCTTTGCCCTCCTTTCCTGGGACCTTTGGTGGAATGCGAGAGGGACCTCTTGGAAAATGATCACACATCAACGTCATCGAAAGCATCCAAGAGATCCTAGAGTCCTGTTCCCGAACTGGGCAGCAGGACCCTAAATAAGAATACAGGGACCTGTAGATCGCTGAACTTAGGAAAGTCCCCAGCTCAGTTATGTAGATGGCACTCTCGAGACGTGTATGAGGCGGGCCTCCGCAAAGTGCATAAGACACAGCTGCACTTGTGAAGTGGAGTGCGAGACCTCTTCAATGCAAATGCCACATCTTTCATTAGCCACGCAAAATTCCCAGGAAGGACTGCAGTTGCTTTTACCCGCAAGGTTGCGAGGCCTTCGTGAATATCGGCTGGAGGGCGTCCGTCCTTTCAATTGCAGGCTCCCTATCACCCGGGGGGGACAAAGCAGGCGGTGCTCTGGTAATCCAGGAATCTGGAAAAGTGTCTTGGCTACTGTGAGAGAATGTATGATCCACTATGATTCAATGGCGAGGGTTCCGCTCTACAAGGTATGAACTGTGCCGAAACATGTCCGGAACCCTGTATGGAGGCTCTGGCAGTGTTCTATTGATGGACTATCCAGTGTATCTGCTTGCAATGTTGCACGAACATTCCAACATGGATGCTCTCGTACACGGATGCGATTGCGGTGTGGGCATTATGCCTGCGTGAATTTCAAAATGGATGGTTTTTGTGGTCCTACATGGAGTCATGGTCCGCAAACGGGTGCATTGCAACATGGATGCTCCTCTAGCTACATGGACACCACCATGGTTTGGGTTTAAGCACAGCTCAAAGTGGATGCTTTCGAACACGCATCTTCTGAAGATCCAGGCGTGGGCGACTTCCAGCATGGACGCTCTCGTACACGGACGTTGTCATGAATTGTACATGGACGCTCTCCCACCCAAATGGCACTATGGTTTGGGCACGAGCTCTTTTGAGCATGGATGCTTCTGGCTGGAATGCTCATTTCAGTATGGATACTTTCATACATGCACGTCATCAATCATGGTCTGCCATGCTTGCATGCTGAGAGGAATGTTTTCGCACAGGGACACTGCTATGGCTATGGTTTCCAGATGGGCACTTTTCAATGCAGATGAGAAGTCATCATGCTTCAGGCATGGGCGCATTAAACGAGGATGGCCTCGTAAATCGACGTTCTCAACATGGATACTCTCGTACATGGACTTTGTCATGGTTTCGGTATTGTGTGCGCCATGGGCACTTTTCAAGCGGAATGCTCTGCTGACCCAGAGCGTTCACAGCTGGAAAAGCCTAAGTCACGCACTTCAATTGCAGCAAGAATCTTAAGTGGAACTCTGATCTTTGAATTGGTGCCACGTAGCCTTCGTTCTGCAGAGTTTTTGTACAAGTTCCGCGGTTCCTCCTTCGAGTTAAAGGGCATTTAATGATATGTGGCGTTCAGTTCGGCAGCCGATGGCTAAAAAGGAAGACCAGGTAACAACAGCAACGACAGGTATGGCTATGATCAGATTATACAAGTCGTCCGTACCCAACAAGCTTACATCCCCAATCCGCGGGCTTCATAGGAGTTAGACCTTTTGGACCCATCTTAGCAGCTTCCTCCATTTAGAAACCGAGACCTCCCAAAAAATGCACTCCACAACCCAAGTCCAGCATTAAATCCATGAACCAGAAAGCTTGACGATGAGGATACCCTGTCCTTGTACAATTAGCCTGCAGGGGTTTCAATTTTTTGGGAGGGGTAAGTGGTAGTTTTCCAAAATAAGGGGACCCCAATATAGACCCTAATATATTTTAGTCCTTATTCTGGGGATCCCCAAAAAGGTACCCCTAATTATGGCAAACCCCTAAGTCCTGTCGCAACATCGGCCGCTGCCTTGCCCAAGTTGAGCGCGTCGAGAGCAAATGAGAGCTTACCCTACCAGTTTCCATTCTATTTTCCATTATCTTTTCCATTTGATTCTCCATTATAGGGGGATAATTGACCGCTTTCTTCCAGATGGTATCGCCAAGGACGCACTCCGCCTCTCCGGTCAAGCTTCACCAGCGTCATCGATTTGAGGAAAAATCGAACACGCGCTGCATCGCCAACGATGCTCTCTGAAAGGCACGATTCACAACATGAGCTTGCACAGGGATGTATCGAGCCATGCACGAGATCTCAACAAGGGCCAGGCGACTTCGGGTGCTTCCTCCAGATTCTAATCTTCAGGAGGCCTAGTCACAACTCCAAGAGATCTCGCGCAGTTTGCTCCACCTGTCACACAAATCAACGAAATCGTTGTACCTTCCAGTGGTTTCTATTCACAGCAATTACGCGTATTTTGTCCTCCTTGGCAACATCCTGAGATGCTGCCAAGGCCAGGGCCAATTTTGCCAGACCTTGTCGAGCCTTCTTTACCACTGCAACATGTTGTGACCATGTACGAGAAGCATCTGAGTCAATGGGGTTCGCCACTGCCTTGATCTGCTCCAGCAATTCTGTGAAGTCAGAGCTTTTCTCCAGCAGGTTTGCGCAATCGCTGACAGCAACAGCCTGAAGGTCTCATCTTCAAAAAAAGCGAACAGGCGCACATCTCCTAAACACTACCAAGTGAAAAAGGATGGTATGAACAGCTAACTTCTTCCATTTATGTGAGATACTGTATACTGTGTGCATGTTGCAGCAGCCTCTTTGCCGCCCCACACTTCTGCTTGTTGGGCTAGGCCAGGCAACCCGTCAGCGCACCAAGGAGGAGATAGCGGTGCGGGCATCTTTGGACTGTCTGGCAAATAGGCAGCACTTGAATGTAAGGATTTCTGGAGCCCAGACTACAGGCACAACTAAGCAGAATTCTGAACAACGCATAGAACTCTGACTGTTCCGGGACATGGGCACAATAAGAATGTTAAAAATCACGAAAGTGACTACAACAGTGCCACAATGTCAAACAGTGACCTGCAACACGGAATAGCGATGGTAAGAAGCCTGGTGGTGATGATGCTGGTGTTGGTGGTGGTGGTGGTGGTGCTGCTGCTGCTGCTGCTGCTTCTGCTGCTGCTGCTGCTGCTGCTGCTGCTGGTGCTGCTGCTGCTGCTGGCGACGGCGGCGGCGGTGGTGGTGCAATTTCAGACATAGGAACAGGCATTCACAGCAGTAACGGCCAACATTACCAACACAATGATTATTAGACAAGTCCTGATTCTGACAGGCATTGCACCTGTTACCCATCTCCTTACACCATGGCTTCTAATTTCTGCCTTAAGTACTCCAGAAATCTTAAGCACTTGGCGTGCCAAGCGTCCTACCTCTTGGAGTTTCTCATGAAGTACGTATGCTATTGTGGAATGAAAGATGTATTCAGAGACAGAGACCGCCCACATAATGAAGCCGCAGCCTCTGGAAGATAGCTGAACTTTGAAACGATGAGATAGCCAAGCTGAACCCAGAAGCGCGGTGGAGTTTTCTGCACGGATGGCCTTCAAGATATTCTTGAAAGCTGGCAGGGAGCTGGGTCTTCCAAATCCAGGTTATCTGATGGTCAAGCATTTGGCAACGGCTTCTTGAGGTAATAGCATATTCAGCCCGGATAAGTGGAAGGTCTTGCATGAATTCCCCATCCCCTGCGCCCTCCTTTGCATGCGTTTGTAATTGAGACCAATGACAGATTGATCACTTGCAGGGCGCAAGCATGAGGTCTGCGACGCATGGCGCTCATCCGTCATACTCGCCCTCCTCCTCGTCAAATTCACCTGCAAGAGTCTAAGGTTGAAACTATGGGCCCCTAGTATGGTCCCTTAGCCTGAGATCCTCATATACCTAGTATATACCCTATATGTACCCTTAAGGGCCCCTAGAATCCCCCTAAACGGCCTAAGGGCCCATATTAAGGGCCCATACTTCCAACCTTTCAAACAGGGGAGAGGCCAGCTGTTTATCACCGTCTGGCAGGCTGGCACCTCATAAGGGGGTTTAACATAGGGATAAAGGAAAAGAAAATGGAAACTATAATAGTATATCATATTAGGAGCCTCTTTAAAGGGGTTTATAAGGGTTTACAGGGGCATATAGGGGTAATGGCCGGATTCCATGACCATGGAGAGACATCTAACAAACGCACCCTCACAGCCACTCAATTCCTATCAGCTGACATCACCCGCTTGGGCAACTTGCAGTTTATGCAAACCATGCATGGCTTCAAAATTGGATGTGACTCTTAGCACATTTTAGCAACATCTTACGACACTTAAAGCATTACAGGCGTCTTCGACAATCAGACAATAATGCTTGTACAAGGTGTAGGGTTGCACACAGGAATTTGTAAGTATGGGAGGAACCATGGCTCCGGTGCAGGGAGATGTGGGGGCAGTCTGAGCAAGCTTCTGTATTATGGGGGTACTTGGAGGGTTTCACCCCACCCAGCTTTAGCAGCAGTAAGCCCATACATCAATCAACCCAACTCGGACCGTGAAGCATGCACGTAGGAGGCTACTATAGGAACCTCACTACTTGCCGGTGCTAAATGGGCATGGGAGTTTGTAAGAATGTGCGACCCCGAGGGACCCTACGTACTATCAGGGTGCCCGCTGAGATAGGCGAGTGCCAAGTGGGGAGCTATTGGGGTCCTGAGCAACACTCTCCTGCCCCGGTTACGTGAATCCCAGCAATACACAACCTGGTAGATACCCGCTGGACCCCTCTCTGATGCTAACGCTCACAGAAAGTTCGACCACTTTATACCTGAAAAGTTGAAGTAACAGTGTGAGCTGCTCAAGAACAAAGTTCTCGATAGTTGTCGGAATGGCTTTGAAATACTTCTCTTGCAGGTTTGCTGGCCTTCCTCCTCGGCGGTGGCATCCTTCAGGAGCGGTGCGCTTACTATCGCCACTACTATCCCCCATATAAGGTTTGGGTTTAGAGTTTAGGGTTTAGGGCCTTAGGGTCTTAAACCCTAAACCCTAAACCCTACTACCTCGCATGTACTATCACTTCGCTACCGGTACGATTCTGCAATTCTTTATCTTTAAACAACACATCCCCACCTGGTACTGTTGGTACTCGGACACCAAGTCGTTCATGTTCGACTCCGCTTCGGTGAACTCCATCTCGTCCATGCCTGCTCATGCTATCAAAAAATACTGTCCCAACATGAGCTATAATCTACACTCCGAGTATCCCGATAATAGCCCCTGTAATACTCCCCTGTATAATCCCTTATATAGCCCCCTTTGAAAGAGCTTAGATTATTTATGGCTCACATGAAGTGGTCCGCTGCGCAGTCATGGAGGCCACGGCTATGGATGGATAAGGGATGAGCTACGGTGCCATGGGGAGCGGCAGTGCTCCTGGGAGTAACGGAATATGGGAAAAATCAATGGGAATCAAATTGTTTTGCTGAGGGACATAGCTAACTTATGATGTGGCAGATTCGGAATTGCTCAATAGCTCAATGTCAAATGGGCTGGAGCAACCAACCGTAACCAGCACATGCGAATCAAACATAATGTTGCACTTGGTCAGTTTTCAAACCATGCTATGCGGCCATGCGCACTCTCCAGCACACTGCTTGTGCCTGCTTGATTGGTAACGACGAAATCTTAACACCTCTTACTTAGAAAGAAGGAATCTGCAGTGTGAGCTGCACACATACACGTTACATTCAGCGTGCCCAGACAAAAATGCATTGTACGCACAATGTTGATGCAAACCTGCGTGACCGCTCAAATCCTCCCAAACACGTTCTTCCTTTGTGCTCCTCACAACCCTCTGCAGCCTTCGCCGGTGTACCAATGCAAGAATGCCTTACGGCGGAACATGGCTGTGAAGTACTCGGCCACCCTGCCGCGCAGCCAGCTGAAGGAAGGCCATATACAAATGTCAAATACGAAAACATGAGTCCGTGTAAGTTTGCAAGGAATTAAAAATGAATTGCGCAGGGCTCGCGTATTATTGAGACAGAAGCGGCTAGGGAAATTTCGCAAATAGTTTCAACCAACCTTAGCAGGGTTTTTTCGGAGTAAACGCATCAAATGTCACTTTGCATGCTGATACCATCCTTTCATGTTCAACTGCTCAACTTAATGAAATTGAAATGTTATTGAAAGTTGAAAGCACCGGGCCATCAACAAATGTTGCGCAATCTCACCAGCCCGGCAGGTTGCAGCTTATGGCCCCAACACGTGAACAGCTTGGGTCATGCCGATTTCACCTTCAGATACCTCGTGCAAAAACTGCCATATGTGAACACATGAAAAATGCCATGCTAAGCTGCGAAGCATGCTGCCCACTGTTCAATGATAGCATGTGTGGTAGGGAAATTGCGAATTTCAGCTTTTACTGTACGGCTGAAAAATCATGGTGGAACTGCCTGCCCACAAAATGCTTAAAAATCCACATGCCCGCCTTTGAACCTCTGGATTATGACCACGTGTGCTGTGTTTCCCGTGTAAACTTCCAGCGGGCGCATCAAAACCTCAAAGCCCCTGTGTCCGGCCCTGGGAAGTCCAGCTGCAACCCTCGAACACCATTGCGGTAAGCGCCTCTTGAACATTTCCTGGATCGCGGTTGAATTTCCCGCAAAGGCAACAGCCATCTTGAGGCCTTAAAGCAGTTGAGGTGAGTAAGATCGATCTACAGGTTCCCTACCTTCTTCGGTTACACCGTCTGAACAGGTCGTCCAAAAACTTGACTGCAATGCCAACTATCACTAATACGCATTATGAACGCGACGTCCTTGCCGACATCCCTATATTGTATGCATGCTTTAACATCTTCCAAACTAAGCCTTGGGAAGCTAAGGACACTTATTTATCAAAATACACATGAAGGCGATGCTCGGGCTGGGCTGATTGAAATGGGCAAGTGCTGGGAATTGGGGCAGGTTGACATGAGTGAGATGAACATCTTGCTGCCGAAGCACCTTTCGGTGGGATGTCACACACCGACGCTTTGATGTTGTTGGGAATCCACTCCTTAGCAACGGCGCAGCGGCGAAGTGCACGAGCAGGGCTTGAGCTTGCTTTCAAAATTTTGGCTGGCGTGCCACTAATTACTTAAGGAAATGTTTGAATGAAAGCGAAAATGTGCATTTTCTCCGTTCGACCTGCCTGCTTGCAACCTGATTCCTTCGTAACTCTGGAACTTGAATCCATGGCCTGATTGACACATGTCTTAACTAGGGCCGCGCAACTTGAAGCACATTAACATAGGTCGTCAGCTTTTGGCTTGTGATTACACAATCAACACGCAAACGGAGGACGCAAGAACCCTAAGCAGAACAACCCCTATGCCCGGACCAAGCTACAGTCCACACCAACTCCAGGGCAGCTATACGGCGCCCAGTGAAGAGAACGGATCTGACCGACTCCCTCCAACCATGCAAGGCAAGATATCCCAGCCCCCAAAAGCAGGGGAGAGTGGGGGGTGGGTAGGAAATAGGTAGCCGCCTATTTCATCTGTTTCGGGGAGGGGTCAACCACTCTGACATGGATCAACTGGAGCACATGCCAGCAATGCAACACAGCTTCAGACTGCAGAAAACGCGCGAGAGATTTTTTGCAGGCAGCGCCGCTTGAGTGGTGTGCAGGAAATCTCCAACCTGCCATTCAAATGTTTCTGCACTGGTTTCCTCCTTCAGTATGCTAAGATCTTGGCTAGGATGATGGATATGATGGATTAATCAGTTCCCCAAAGTCCCGCACTAGTGCACTGTCCTGCACCCCTTCCTCTTCCGAGTCTGAGAATGTCAGGGGGACATAGGATGCTGCTGGCGGCGCCGTGGGCTGAGAGGCAGCCTTGCGCACTCCATGAGCGGTGTGCACTTTGGCAGCCAAGAACGCCACCAGCCTCTTCCCACTGTTCGGCTTGGCCAGCAAGTTGGCTGTTGCTTCTCCGTTCTCGCTTGGAACCTCGGTGACCTTGGACGCGAGCATGCCAGGGCTAGTCAAGGACGCCCAGGCCAGGAGCCATGAGCAGGCAGCTGCCAAGGCCCATCAGGAGCTTCCGGAGAACCTAAAGTCCCAGGGCACTGTGTACACAGTGGGCACAACAGTGAGTCCACGAGACCTGCAGCATGCAGCCTTGTTTGCGGCCTTACCCCTCCTGTGAGGATACTACGAAGCACGCCTCGTTCGTAGCAGGACAGTCCCTCAGAAGAGGTGCACTTAAGCAGGGCCAGCGTAGCATCTAGATTAATGCCTAAAGCAGGATCCAACCCTTCTAGAAACCATAGCTGGCGACGCGCTACCTGTGCCCACAGGTTAGCACGGATGGCTTGGCGAAAAGCATGACCAGCACAGCGGCCACTCAGCACTTGCAGATTCAGAAGGTCACCTGAAGGCGTCGCAACTGACGGGACCGACTCCCGTAATCCTTGCAAGGCGAGGTCATCCCAGTTGGTGGCATCAACCCCGTACGAGATCATATTATCAATATGAGCCTGTGCAAGATTGGCTTTTTCCTGGAGCGAATCCGGCAAGTAACGCGAACGTGCCAAACGGTTTTCAGCTTCGGCTTGCCGAACTTTTTCCTTAGGAACGGGCTCCGAGTTCCCACATTGAGATTCGCCCACTTGGAGTTGGGCCCCCTTCCTACACGTCAACGTGATTTGCGAGACCCCTAAGTTAACCGGCCGAGAAGAAACCTTCCCATAATGACCCTGCAATTTGTCAGACTCCCCGCGGCAGTGGACCAGGCAGTTTGTTTGGAAAGGTTGCGCTGCTGGTCTGTGAGTTCGTCGAACTCTTGCGTACAAACGATTGCATCCTCAAGCTGAGAGGTACAAGCTGCAGAGAGGCTTTTATCATCAAGATATGCGCCGATGTCTAATGACGGCAGTTCTTCGCACGCATGGGCCCACACAGACACCAAGCCGTTCACCAGGAGAATGCTCAAGCTACAACCCTGCCAAATGCCGGTGTCACTTGAACAAGGCGGAGAGAAGGCACGGCCAACGGGAAATAACGGCTACAACCACCATAGAAGGAACGCAGGGCGCGCGCAACGCCTGCATCAAGTCCAAGCGCATCAAGCGTGCGAAAAGCAATCTCACGAGGCACCCTATCAAAGGACTTCGTGTAATCCAGCAGCACACCACAGCGGTCAACACCGTCCAAAAGTGATTGCTCAATGAGAGCAACAAGCTTGAGATACACGTTCTTGGTGCTGTGCCTGGCACGGCCGCCAGCCAACGTGTGATGAACCCACGATTCTTGCCACGCCAAAGCCTCACGGAAGCGGATAGATGACCATGCCCTGTATAGAGCCGGCAGAATTGCGATAGGACGCATCTTTAGGGGATCTGTCTCACCCTCACCGTTGGAAAGCATGGCCGTAATGGCCGCAAGCAACTCATCTGGCCAAACTCCTGCGGCCTCAACGGTGTTGAAGACATCAGCAAAGCCTTGGAGAATGTAGTCTGGCAGGATGGCCAACTCACCAGGCGACCATCCATCCATTCCTGCCGCACTGTGCTTTGTGCGCGCAAAGTGCTGGCGGAGTTGTTTGGCTTGAATTGGCGTAACCGTCATAGGGGAGTGCTTAAGGAACCTAGCATACCTACAGTAGAAGACATCCCAACCCGGCCCACCCTCAGAGTGACGCTGAAAAAATTCCAGCCACTTAGTTTGAGTGGCGTGGAGTATGTCAAGAACATCAAGAAGCAACTGGCCATCATGCTCTACACAAAGGATGGCACGAGAAGGTTTGTCCCTTAGCCACTGGTGACGGCGCCGCTGTGAAGCCTTAAGGGCTCGCCTCCAACTCGCTAACCTGTCCTTACGAGCCTTGTCCTGATCTCTACGAAGGGCATGTGTGACCACATCAATCGCTTGACGGACTTGTGCTGCGGTACCCAAACCCAAAGCCAGACCCTCAACAAGCAGGCCTCTAGAAGCAGCATTCTTAAGCTGAAGGTGCTGCGCGCCTAAATCCCCGGAACCGCGACTAAGAACCCTAAACAACTCCTCAAGCCGCCGGAGCAACCTGTGACGGCGGCGGTCTCGTACTGCCAAGGAATCAGGGTGCCGGCTGTAGGCCTCGAGCTGGCCATAGCCAAACAGGGGCAAGGAACCGTTGGGGCGGGCGTGCTTAAAACCGTCACAGCATAAACCAGGAACCTCAGCCTTAGCATGCTGAAAAAAGGCTTCAACACAAGCACTGACTTCCTGAAATGAGGCCCCAGCGGGTGGCCGCACTGACACGTCATTAGGGACAGCATCTGGGGACAGGGCAGGGACCGGTAGGTAGCACACTGTGGGCTTGAGCTGACGGACCCAAGGCATGACGGAGTTAGTGCGCAGGCGGACTTCAAGAGCAGCGTGGCCGGGAAAACCGAGATCTTTATTGATATGAAAAGAGTGAACTAGGGCAACTGCAGTCCTGTTTGCGATTACATAATCAATGCGACTAGCACCCTGGTGGCCAAGGAAGGTGGTTTCTTGGTGCATCCCAAAAACGCTAGCAACGTTGACCCAGCGCCCCGTGGTGAGCACTACATGCAATTGGCTAGACTCCTGAAGATTGAAATCCCCTAGTACAAGGCAGGGACCGTCACCAACACAAGCTGCGGCTTCAAAGACATCCTTCAACGTACGTTCACTCAAGTGTCGGTGGTAGGCAGAGCGAGATGCCTGACCTGAAAGATAAAGGTGAAAACGTGCAAAAACCTGGACTGGCCTAGCATGGTGCGTGTGTGCAACACACGGCCGGAGGAATACAAATGCCCAGCGAGAGGGGCAGCAACAGTGGGGGGAGAGGTCTTATAAAGGGTGGCCACCCCTCCAATTTGGCCATCAAAAGGAATAAACCTGTCAGATCTCCTCTGCGACTGGGGATGGCCCCAAACACAACTCCAACCGTAAGATTGCAAGCGAATTGCCAAGGCCTTTTGCAGAGAGGCTGCTGCCCACGTCTCCTGGACAAACTGTAGGTCGGCAGGGGCGTCTTGCACGGGCGAACAGCAAGCATCAAGGCCGGAAACATTAACAGATCTGAGCAAAAGGGTAGAAGGTGGAGACCCTTTAAGGGAATCATCTTCAACATCAGAAACTTGCTGAGTGCGAGGCTCGTCCTTATGGTGGACAACAGTAGGCTTACGCAACTGATTCCAGGCATCATGGGACAAGGCAATAGGCGCAGCAGGCTGCGGCCCATTCAAGCGCACCTTGGCTTCAAGCCTGTCATAATGATCACGGCCGTTGTAAAGCAGCCAGATATCCCCTTTCACAGGCCAGAAAATAGGAGAATTGCAAGTTCTCTGCAGCTCAAACTTGGTGTCGGCAGCATTTCCTTCGGGCAGCAAACTAATTACATGAATGACGGCACCACATATCTCCGCAGCCGCTCGCAAAGTGAGGTAGTCACCCCACTCCCCACTGCAAGCCGTCCTTTGGATGTACGGGGCCCACTGAACATCCTGCAAAAACTGTCCATAAAAAATTGTTGGCATCAAGGTGCGCGACTACGGCATCCCTAAGAGCCCTGGGTGACTCAGCAGAAGTTTGCTGAGCAATGGCAGAAAACTGGCAATCACCGTCACCGAGGACCTGCACAACCTTACGGCCGGCAATTACAGCGGGGGCACAACGCAAACCAGCGCCTCCGACGAACAAACCTTCAGAACACACATCCCCATCATTGCACTGATTAACGCAACCAAAGGCGTTGAGTGACATATTACCCTTAATGCACTCCAGCAGTTGGCGTAACCCACTGAGTTCATCACTGAGCTCCTTGCCGCTTGAACCCCAGAGATGCTGATGTACAGACCTCTAGACACTGCACCACCTAGCACAATCTTTGTACTCTCTTGAATTCGTGAAGCTGATGCACTGCAGCCACGCTCTCTTCGCTCACGTTAGCCACCCATGCTCCGGGACCACCCTCCCAAAAACGGCTCACGTAATCCTCAGCTGACGGCACCTCATTTTGCAGCATCGTGTGCAGGCTTGATGAAATCGATCCTTGGGGCCGATCCATGGCCAGTGCTGCGACTTCATTGGTACGCAGGCAAGCATCGCCACACCTGAGCACAGACCCAATAGGGACCCCATGGGTAATTCTGCCCCAACCACACGCATAGAACGTGGGGAACCAATCACCTAGACCCTCTATTTACTTTCTATTATACCCTAAGTATTTAAGGGTACAAGGAGAGTCCAGGTACTCAGTGCATCAGAGCGCTGCACGAGGAGTACCCGGTTTGCTTGGCAAAATGAGCGCTGCCAACCCTTCACCTTCCGGGCACGGAAGTAAGAGGGGCCACCCCACCGACTTGGCCATCAAAACGGGAATCTCTCTGTCACACCTCCGCTGTGCTTGCGAGGACCCCAGACACAACTCCAACCGTGAGAGCCTTTTTTGTGACGCCGTTGCCCAGGTTCCCTGAACAATTTGCAGGTCAGCAGGGGAATAAGTGAAACTGACCATGCATGCTTCAATGACGCCATGGATTCAATTTCACCGTTGCCTACGACCTGTTCCTGCAATCTCGGAGCCCTGATACCTTAATTCAAGGCCCATCGAAATGTCAATACCTGCCACAGCGCCAGAATGCAGCTGACACATATTTGAGCATGTCAATACCAAACTGGTATGTCGCACATTGCCTTTCCGAACTTCAACCTGCAAAATAGACTGTTGACATGCAATGCCTAAAGAATTTCCAACACTGCAAGGTGCCACAAAGTAGGACGAGTTCTTGTTCTGGACGTTCAACATCTGCTCGTCCACCTGAAGAACATGCGAAATCAACATTCTGTGGGGCCATGTCGCGCCAAGAAGATGCAATGGAACAACTATAGCTACACGTGGTACTTCCGAAAATGGCGGGACCTCAGCATAGACTCCAATATGCTGTCATGCTGTCTCTATTGGGACCCCCCCTAAAGGTACCCCATAATCTTGGGAAACCCAGAATCCCAATAAACCAGCACATAATCCCAGTTTCCATTTTGTTTCCCATTTGCTTTTCCATTTGATTCTCAACTATTGGGGTACTACAGGTACCCCTAATTTTGGGAAACCCTGAACCTTAATCCCGAAACCCTATATATGCCTATACCCTCTATAACCCTACACCCTACACGGTACCCCTAATTTTGGAAATCACCATTCTGTTGGGCGTAGAGTTTTATAGGACTCCTAGCCGTGTCCAGGGATTGATGGAGCTTTCGGATTTCCAGGCCCATGCCTGAGTTAGGATTTAGAGGCTTGGGGATTTGCGGTTTAGGGGTAATACTTGATTATCTCTCCCTCATTTACGTCTCCAGGTAAGCCCTATAAACCACAGCAGCTGCAAAGATCATGTCCATCTCTTTTAGGCAATGCTGTATTTAGTTCCCTGAGCTATATCTCCACGTAACGGCCTCTATATGGTAGTTTCCCTAGATAGGCAACCCAATATAGACCCCAAATGCTATAATCCTTACTGTAGCCACCCCCAATAAAGGTACCTCCCAATGTTGGGAAACCCTAAACCCTAACCGTATATGTCCCCTTTAAACCCGTTCAAGGTACCCCTAACTTGGGGAAACCCCCATATGTACTTAGCGGAAGACCGCCTCCTTGGTGGACATGCGGCCACGGAAGAGGGCTGCTGCAGTGAGGTAACGCCCGTGGCGGGGATCCGCGGCACACATCCTCCGATACGCGGTTTAAGGTTTAGGGTTTAGGATTTGGGGTTTAGGGTTTACCCTCAAACCCTAAATAACTAAACTCCTAAACCCTAAACCCTGTGCGCAGCATAGGTGTCCTGTATGTAGGGCTTTTGGTGAGCCTTTAATACTAAACCCAGGTGACAGGCAGGGAAGCCGGGAGCTTCAAAACTATACTAATATAACCCCAACATACTATTGTAGTTTCCATTTTCTTTTCCAGTATCCCATGCATCCCCAATATACCCTAAACCCTACACCCGTTATAGTAAGCTCCATTTTCTTTTCCATTATCCCAATAGAACCCCAATATACCCTAAACCCTTTATAGTAAGTTCCATTTTCTTTTCCATTATCCCAAGATATCCCCAATGTACCTTAAACCCTAAGCCCGTTATGGTAAGTTCCATTTTCTTTTCCATTATCCCAATATAACCCCAATATACTAAGTGGGCTGGCATTTGCTGTTGCGGGCATGGGATCTGGGCACCAGGGGGCCATGCTTGGCGTCAGTGGATGATACAAACATCTTCTGCTGCAGATGAGCTGTAGATTATATAGGGAGCTACATCTTAAAAGGAGTTACATAGGGGATGGGATCTACCTAATAAACCCTAAACCCTAAACCCTAAACCCCAAACCCTAAACTGCGTGGCTTTACTATGGGGGTTATTAAGGGGGATACTATGGCTCAGAGGGCTCCCATGTGGGACTTCAGTGTCAGGATCATTGATGGGATCCAGCCACCAGTAGTTTCCATTTTATTTTCCATTATCCCCAATAGTACCCCATTATAACCCCAATATAACCCCAATATACTATAGTAGTTTCCATTTTATTCTCCATTATCCCAAAAAGCTGCCGACTTGCCAAGGGGCATGTTCTTGGCGTCGAACATTTGTTGTGTCAGCTCAGGAACCTCGGTCGCAGAGTACTCTGAACATGTTCGTGTGTAAGCCTGAGCTTTCAATAAACTCTGCTACAGCATTGGGTGCTTCAGCCACCACGGGTGCCACCGCAACCCCAACAACGACCCCGAACCAACCCACCCAGTTTGGAAGGTCTCTCTCATGGCCCTGGTGGTCTCCCCAGGTAGGTACACTACGAAACACTCTATGAAACTATATGACATTACCTGGCTGTAACTACCTGGTTGTAACTTGGGCTTTTCCCTATTCCGCCCCAAGCCCTACACTCAAAACCCAAAACCCTAAACCTTAAAACCCTTCAACCCTAAAACCCTTAAACCCCAAACCCTAAAACCCTACAATCCTAAAACCCTAAACCCTAAAACCCCAAAACCCTAATCCCTAAAACCCTACAACCCTAAAACTCTACAACCCTAAACCCCTAAAACCCAAGCCCAGGGGCCGTCAGGGCTCGGTACTGCTGCGAGCCGCGGGAGGTCAGAGGCGCAAAGCCGGTCATGAAGAAGTGCAGGCCTCCAGATTTAGGGTTTTAGGGGTTTAGGGTTTTAGGGGTTTAGGGGTTTTAGGGTTTAGGGGGTTTTTGGGTTGAAGGGTTTTAGGGTTTAGGGGTTTTGGGGGGTTAAGGGTTTAGGGTTTTAGGGTTTTAGGGTATGAGGGTTTAAGGGTTTAAGCATGTGTTTAGGGGTTATAGTGGCTATTAAGCCATCCTATAGGGGTTCTGTAGGGATAATCTAGGGTGTAAGGACATTACCTCCACAGTGGGGAATCAAATGGAAACGAAAACGGAAAATGAAATGGAAGGGGGATTCGACAGGTGTATTTAAAGGGTTTTGGGGTGTCCCAATATTATCTGTCCACTCTGGGAGGTCTCCATGCTAATTCAAAGATTATGGTGTTGGGAGGAAGAGACGGGTGACCCCTTTTATTGAAAACTCACATGTGGACTAGTCAAAACTGATGGTTTCCCTTGGTGGGGCTCTCCAGTCGCAGAGTTCAAGTGCTTTGGGGATACTACGATGGGCCCCAATGTCGGCAGAAAGCCACAGTTGGGCGAAGCGCTTGCGAGCCGAGATTTCCGGAAATGGTCCAAGCTTCAAAATCGGCAGGTGCAGCAGCAAGGCATAGGGCAGGCAAACCCGACAACGTCATGGACAGCTGCAAAGTTTGTCATACTACTATGCTACCAGGAAGCGCGGGAAAGGCACAAGGTTCACGGCGATCTTGCGCAGATCGCAGTTCAACCTAGGCACAAAAAGCTCTGAGATGTCCTGTTGTCAAAGGTCCAGATTATGGTTCTTGCCCTGCAATTCCGGGTTCAGAGTATAGATCCTGGTACCGAGGAGTAGGGTGGCCTGTCGGGCGAAAGCCAAATGAGCGAAACAAAGGGTGTGAAATACCACTCTTGAGACCAGCAGCTGTCCCGGGAAGCGCAAGCAGCAGGTCACTCCGCCTTAGAGGCTCACTTTCATGAAGTCGTAACCCTTAGCAACAAACCTCCATGCGCTGAGGTCACAAATCTCAAGTTTCTCGTGCTTCAGCGCGTGTGCTAGGTTGTGCTACTTGGATTGGACGTTCATGGTGTTGCTTCATGAGTGTGATTGCGAGTAGGCTAGCCCTTTCGTAGCCTGAAGGCAACCCAACATCAGACTGAATATCTGGTGCGACAAGCTACTCATGGCCGCGGAGACCAGGTGGTTCAGGTCGCCATACGTCGGCGTTGTCAGCTTCCTTCGTGCAGCTTTTGCATCGTCACCTGTCCTGCCTTTCTTACTAGCCAGCGGCTTGGTATTACTGCTGCTGTTGCTGTTGCTGTTGTTGTTGTTGTTGTTGTTCTTGTTGCTGCTATTGCTACCATGAGCCTTGTTATTCTTACAACAACAACAACAACTACAACAACAACAACAACTACTACTACTGCTACTA